TCAGGCTTGTACATACTTGTAAATATATATACTCTTCTTTCACGCAATAAACCGCGGCGGTGCACAGCATAGCCATCCAATGTGTGTTATGTTATTTGTTGTATTGTGTTGCAAGGGCTAGTACAATTGGGATTTCACTTTCTTAGCAAATGACAGGTTCTAGTACTTTTGGGGGGTTGAGTCCCATCCGGGATTCGAACCCACACCCTCAGAGTCAGGCCCCCAATCGCCAGCACACACAGTCAGCCGCCTAACCAGCTCAGCCACCGCGACTTCCACAAAAATGGAAGTCGGATAACTGGACTGCGGACTTTGGTTACCCCTCTGAAATAGCTCTAACATATGTTATATTTGGGATTACACTTTCTCAGTAAAGTACAGAATTCGGATGGATTCTAGCATCGGTACTTTACTAAGAAAGTGTTATCCCAAATATAACATATGTTACATTTGACCACTGTCTAAATGGCATTGTGAAATCACGCTACAATTTTTTTAGCAGGAATATGCCTGAACAGAAATCTTTTGAGGTTGGACTTGAAAGAGTCTAAGCCAGTGGCAGTCCTGGGTTGAACAGGAAGATCATTCCACAGTCGAGGATTCACTGTGCTGAAGGCATTGTAGCCATAGGTTTTAAGTTTATACGGTTGAACTACCAGCCGCTGTGAGTCCTGTGACCGTGGAATCCAGTTTGTTCTGTAGGGCTGTAACAGGTTGAGTAGATACGTTGGTGCCTGTCCAAAGAAACACTGGTAGGTTAGACACAAGACTTTGAAATCTATCCTGTATTTCACCAGCAGTCAGTGTAGCTCCATCAGACCTGGTGTAGTGTGGGATGACCTTGATGTTCTCGATACAATACGTGCTCCCGTATTTTGTATCCTCTGAAACCTTTGAAAAGAAGCACCGCTGATCCCCCACATGAGACTTTTTGCATAGTCTAACCTGGACAGCACTAATGATTGAACAGGAGTCTTTGCTGCACTTGTTGAAATGAGATGCCTTATCTGGCCAGTACATCTGAGGTGGTAGTAGCAAGTTCTACAGGAAAACCGCTAACCTGTGCTTCCATTGTTAGTTGTGCATCTATCAACACCCCCAGATCTTTCACTGTTCGGGAGAACTTGATTGTTGACTGACTCATAATAACAGTATCATGATTCGTCAGTTAGGTTGACGCTTTGTACCAACCAGTAATGCCTCTGTCTTATCCTCATTGAGCTGTAGTTTGCTCTCTGTCATCCAGGACTTTATTTCGGTGGCGCAGTTGGTGGTTTTCAGCAATGCTTCAGATATGCCTGCGGGTTCAAATCCACCAATGCTGCGTATCACCCGCATATTGCTGATGGTCCATATCGTGGTGTCTTGTGACTTCTCCAAGACTGTTTGCATACAACACAAACAACACAGGGCCCAAAACAGAGCCCTGGGGGACTCCGCATCTGAGGATGGTGGGTTCAGCTTTCTCATGACCTATGACGACAGTCTGTTGTCTCTGGACGAGATATGACTGGAACAAGCGCAGAACAATATCCCAATATCATTGGCCAGCCTGTTAAGGAGTAGCAAGCATGTCAAATGCGGCTGATAGATCCAGGAGGGTAAGTGTAGCCATATTCCGTCTGTTTATGAACAGCACATAGTAGAGCAATCTTCGTGCTGTGATGTTCCCTATAAGCAGACTGAAACTCGTCCAACAGACCATGTGCAGCCAAATGCTCCCGGAGTCTTATTTTGATAGCATAAGTTGGAGACACGCCACTACATTTAGGTCGGTCTTCTTCATAAGAGGCGTAATGACAGCTTGTTTGAGGCAGTCTGGGAACACACCAGTAGAAAGGGTGAGGTTGACGATCTGCGTTATTACCGGAAGTAGGAGATCCAAGTATTCCATCATGAAATGAGTTGGAACTGGATCAATAAGACAAGTTGTCTACTTTGATGACTTGATGATCTTTTTAGTGTTCGTTTCTAATCTTCTGCATTTTATCATTGAAGAATTCAGAAAAATCTTTTGCAAGTCCCTGTTTATCTTCATGTTCAGGCAATTTAGTTTCTTCTCCTCTCCCAAGCAAGGGTTTCAAGATTGGATGGGTCCGTCGTGAGTCTCCATTGAGATCTGTTATCCTCTTTGTACAGAACGCTGATCTCACTTTGCAAATGACTTTATGTAGCTCATTCCGTGTCTGTACATTTGTCGGTGTACTTCCAGCCGTGACTTGCGCCAACGGTGTTCTGCTTGACAACACAGGCGTTTAACTCCCTCAGTTCAGCAGTCGGTTGTCTTCTTAATGCTGATTTTCTTCTTGACTTCAGAAGCGTGTTTATCAAGAAGTGAAGTCAGGGTATCGTTGTATAAGTTAGTTAATTCAGGGCATTCGGGGTACTTCAGGACAATTCAGGGTATTTCGGGGCATTTGGGGTACTTCAGGACAATTCAGGGTATTGCGGGGCATTCGGAGTACTTCAGGACAATTCAGAGTGTAACGGTCAGAACCAGGTCGCTTTGAAACAGTTTCACGTCTCTTCCGGTTGCGTCTGGTCTTGTTGTAGAGCGAGGTGGTTCCAACATATAATTATAAATTACCCTGAATATGTAGGTTAAGCGTCCCGATGTGAATACAATATGTATTGTAGTCTGTAAAACTACAGCGTCAACACGTAGTTGCCGAGACGACAGAAATCCCGTACGAAAATCCAGGAAAATAACGACGTGTGTGTTTGTTATCATATCTACAGACAAATACAATGCGACAGACGAACTTATCGGAAAACATATCTCGTGGAGCTCGTGCGGTTCTACCCTTCGGTGACGCTTTCAATTTTAATCAGCATCAGATAGTGCATATACCAGATGTTCATAGGCCAGGTTGACCATTCTATATATCCCCAATAATCAGCATGACTATATTGCCTTGTCGTGAAAGTTGTCACCATGTTAATGATGCCATGTTAATGACGCCACGGGTCCATCGATTACCGGATGGAGCACACAAGGTTGCAAGCCGGGAAGAGGGCATGCGCTGACCATGTGAGTCGATACCATTGCCTAGTTCAAATATGTAAAGCAATTATTATACAAGGTTATGGAATCCTAAAAGGGACATTGTCGCGTTGTCGCATTGTCGCATTGTCGCAATGGTGCTTCGTCGCCCTTACAAAAACAAGCAAAATGTAGCAAAACTATCCAAAATGCGACAATGCGACAACGCGACATTTTAGCCATTTGTCGGATTGTCGCGCTTCGAATAATATGTTTTATACAACCAAAGAGTTTTAAGTTGTGGTTCAAGATGTGAAGTTGAGAAAGTGTTTAAGCAAGACACTAGTTTCAGTGGTACATGCATTATTATATGTCGGTACCTAAAAACAACGCAGACCATCTCATTAATGATAGGGAATCACTCCTACATGCAGCGTCACTATCTCGATCATATAATAAGCCCATTTCATTTGTATGAATTGTAGTACAATTAATTCGTGAAAATGATGTTGAGATTATTTTCTCGATAACATCAACCCAGACCAGTGGATGTTCATATCAGCTCGTCAATCTACATACATAGCATTAGCACTCGTGAACAGTCTTGATTACCTTCCGCAACCGGCTCCACCGGGCGCAATAGGCACAATAACAGTGAAAATAGAGAGTGAGTTTAGTGTTACGCCGCATTTGGCAATTTTCCAGCAATATCACGGCCGGGGACACCAGAAATCGGCTTCACACATTGTACCCATGTAGAAGATCGAACCCAGGCCTTCGGCGTGGCGAGCGAACGCTTTAACAACTAAACTTAGCGCTGACAACAGGTGTGTGCTAGTAGACTACAGATGTCCTGCCCGACCAGTTGCTCCCGCTGACCATATAAAGCACATATAAAGTTAGGTTAGTTGCCAAGCGACGCATAGCGATACTGATATAATCCGAGGTGTCCATCTCGCAAGTACAACCCACCATCTCTGGGTGAGTGAGTGAGTGAGTGAGTTGTGATTTACGCCGCTGTTTGTTATGTTTCACTGCGTTGGACAACTGGAAGTCGGACAATCGCTTTACATATTATAACCCATGTGGGAATCGAACCCACGAATACTGTGAAAAGAGCAAACTGTTCATCAACTGTGTTGCCCCACCACTTACACCTGAGTCGAGACTTAATCAGTGATAATGCTACAGCAGCTCTTTCACCACCAGCATGATGATGTGTTCTCGCCCTGGCGTGTTCGGGTAATTATCTTTATGACATCATTGTACGGTGAGTATAAATCAGAATGATTAATGTTACAGGTAGCTGGACATACAGGTGTGCACACAACACCACACCACGTGCATCATGCTCGTTCTCCACATCATTCACACATACAGTAAGTTTTGTAAGCAATACAATTAAGGGACCGTTCATAATTTATGGCTGGGGGTGGGGGTGATGATTTTAATGAAGAAGCATGTACAATGTGAATACCCATCCACAGGCCCTCGTGTCTTTGCGAAAATTAAAGATTAAAAAAAACATTTCTTTGAGATGACCCCCGACTTGAAATGCTACACAGTACAATACATTATGAGAAGGCCGAACACTTCGGTATACCCCACCCACTTGCTTTGCCGATCGCTACTTTGCCGATCATCAATTTTGTACACATGTTCTAGGGTGGGGTGGGGTGGGGTGGGTTCCATCAATTTTGTACATAAATATATTTTACAATAATGCTTTAAAAATATGGGAAGGGGAGGGGGTCATTGATTTTTGTACATGACATGCAGGGGGGTCACTTACTTTGTACATAAATTTTAGGGGGGTCATTCACATTGTACATGCTTCTCCATAAAAATCATTATCAACATATATTTGTAAAGATATGAAGTGCCGCAGACTGGTTGCAGCGCATACTGATTACACGCTCTAACTGGGCTCGTGCTTCCCTTCACTATCATAAATCGAACTTGTCGTCTAGTTATCGATCCGGGAGTTTTGATCGTTACCTAGTTTAGATGTGGAAGATGTTGACCTGTCGTACACTGTCCAGTGGAACTTGAGAGAACTCGACCTCCCCACGAACTAGAAGCCATTCAGGTAGGGTAACGTGTTCATTTCAGTCGGTCTTGAAATTATGTGTTTTTCTTGTGGTTACATGTATTTAATACAGTAGCATGATACGTTTAACCAGGCAAGGTATACAGTGTTGAATCTGTTATTGCTGGGTTGGGGCAGTTCTTGTACACCGCGCTGGCGGCACTGTTGTCGGTGGTAAGTGTATTTCAGTGGTACATCTGTAAACATACGTGTATGTAATTTAAACACTGCGACAGAATGTAATGGATGACACACATAAGGATTCTCTATGTATCGTCATAGTCCTAAATTCACAATAATTAATCCAAAATTATAGTGGTCATATTTCAATTATGAGTTTTGTGTTTGCATCAATTTTCTATTTGACAAATAGTGAGGCATGCACATACTTTCTAAGATAAAGTAACTCTGAATTTTGCAACTCAGTCAAGCTGACAAACTCAGGTTATACCCTCGGGTTATGTTGTGCCTGGCCGGGCACATCATTCTTGTCAGTAGATAATGTCAGATAGGTAGGACTGTATAGAATATTTAGTGGCCAATGGCATCGGTAAATAAGGAATAATTGTACTTGATACACCAACCACTCGACACGGCCACAGTAGAAGGTAACTTACATATTCGAGAGGACTGCGTCCTTATACACACAGACACGCTGAAACGGCATTCTGCCACGCGGCTCAGAGACAATGCCGCCTTCCCTCTCTTTTCAGGCAAGATTGTATTTTTATGCTTGTTAAAATCCTCTTGTCTTGAGCTAACCTTTCTTATATATATGAGTCGAGATATTCCTTCTTGTCAATACTCCTGATTTATTATCTGCATATATATAGATACATTAACTGATATGCCCAATGATGGATAAAGTATTGAGTTACATGGCATGGACAAGAGTATATTTTGGACAAAAGTATACCCGCGGGTAATCTCACGTAAATACCGTCTCGTGTGAATATAGGTTTTGCTGCGTCTATGATATTAGCGTTTATGGTATTGTAACAATACAGTGTGTAACATCCATGTGTGTTTAAATACGCCAGTAACTGTAGAATACCTTCAGTTTTAGTGTTAACAGTTAAATGCGTTAGCTGGAATAACATATAAAACACCCCTGTCTCTTCCCTACACAATTCACTGGAGTTAACTTGTGCTTACATTAACTTAGTTATCCTAATAACCACACTAACTTTCCAACATGTCACTTATAGCCTGTAAAGGTAATCGCACTGTAGCTACCCAAATAGCAATATTAATGATATGCTTCTAATGTTATATTACTTGTTTAATTCATGTACGGTATCTACCTTGTAGCACATTGTATGTAGTTTTACTGTTACCACTGAATCACTCCTCGTTAAGGGGAGGGCCGAGTAATCGGCTCTATCAAGTTAATTCCCCGAGTATTTTGGTCATTGTGACGTAACAAAACCAATAATCGCTTAAGATGTATGTTCCTAACACCTTCTGTCGATGATCTTGTGTCCATTAAATATTGACCACACTCGTTAGGTGTTATAGATACAGATATTACGCCATGTGTCGCAAGGTCACTGGCCCACATATGTGAACGTACACAAGATCCGCCGACGTTAACTGACATTATGACTTTAGGAAGGAGTTATGATAAAAGGGTATACGTTTAGAGAACAAAACTGATAGAATTTTGATGCACTTTGGACACAAATTGTAACAACTAGCTATTTCGATTACGTAAAGTTTTAAAGAATCTTAATGAAATTATTTGCACTATAACATTATTTTTTAGACTACTGTAACAATGCATTCACTGCAGCTGTTCTCTTTTGTATGTTAACAGTTAACGACACCACTGTGTTGTTGGCATGGTAACAGGGAGTTGCATATATTTTCCTGGTATTTAACACAATATCGTGGTAGGATTTTTGTCAATTTTAACAACGTGATTTCTTCGATTTAACAATATGAAATTCATTTTGTGCTGCCTAGAAAATGTTGAACATGAGTCTTTTACATTTTGTCACGACACCTACCTATGTTTACCGTTAATGGCAATTCTTATACTCTTTACAACAAACTAAACTCAATTTTAATTGAGACAAAATATATACAGGCTAACAACAAAGAACGATTGACAATCCAGTGTAAACATACGTCAGAGGTAACTAGCTGCCGTCGGCACCATTGTTGTGTTGATACCAGTCAATCAGAGATTGTTATCTTTTGTTTGTTTAAAAAATATTCCATCCGTATGACGGTAGATTGAACATAATCAATTCTAAACTGGACAAACCAGTTATTGATATTATGAAGACGGCCCTACGTTGCCGGGGAACGGTGAATGGCCATCAGTGGAGCTTGAACGCCAGATCTATTTGGTCGCCTCGTGTCCAGGGCCTATTCTGACAGTGAGTCCAGACGGAGATCTAAACAATAATCGTTTAAATACCAAAAACACATTCAAATGTGTGTCAGAGACCTTTTTCAATTTCTAATTCTGACAAACAACTGGTAAGATATTATCATTCAAACATGCCTGCATCGTGTGACCTGTGACAATGGTAGCAGTCAAAACTTCCCCAAAAAGTGACGTCACAATGATGCCTTGTGACGTCATATTGTCTTGGACGGCAACCAGTTGGTAAAACCAACCAGCATGAAATGATGCTCACAAACCGAGGCTGATAATCAGCACGGTCCTCTGGTAGTGCTACGTCATTGTCTTAGACAACTGGAGTATGCTAGCATCATAATTATATTTGGTGAAAATGTTTTGTATAATTGAGAATACATATACAGTGTTATGCCCATATTCCACACATACCACGAATGCAACGAATCGCCACGAATTGACAACTGTGAGGAATCGTAGTTGAATCGTAATCATTTCGTGACGTTCTTAACTAATTCGTAATATAGTCGTAGTTAGTTCTTGCAATTCTTGAGCACAATCGGGAATTCGTGGCAAAAGTTTTGAACTTCAAAATTTTGGCCACGAACTCCCGATTAAAAATAATGGTAGTTAATTCGAAACAAATTCTTAAGCCACCCTGAAACTTGCACGAATTTTGTCCCCGCACTGGCACGCAGTTTTGCATGCCAATGAGTAAATTCGCCGTTAATTGGTGTGAAGTGTGCATAAACTGTGAGGGGGCTGCGTACAAGTGCGCAAAATGTTTTGAAATGTTCAAAATTTCTGGTACGCATAATCTTTGTGTCACTTGCGTGAAATAGTCGTGAACATTGCGCAACCTACTCGCAAACACTGCGGGCGATGCGTATCAAAGCGTGTCAATTTCCGGCCCTGCTCGCATTGACGCATTGGCCCGCTTTGATCATGAACTGTGGGCGACATGGTCGCGACAGATTGCGCAAAGTTCACGCCTTCTAACTTGTCGTGAAGTGAGCGGGCGGGGCTTGTGTATTGTTACGACTTGTTCACGTGGTCATGGCACGACGGGTTCCCACATAGTTTGCACACGGCACGAATAGTTTGCGCATGTCACGAAATCGATACGCATTGGGCACGCCTACTTCACGCATTGTTGGCGCACGAATCAGCGACGACCGCGCACTCGGCAGTGCGTACATAAAAGCGTGCCCATCGCCAGTCCCAGCATTCCTCAACTCGACAGCGAACAGTCAACAAGATGCCTGCCAAGAAGAAGACAAGCAGAGGAAGAGCAGGAGCAGCAGTGGATAGAAGACTTGAAGAAGAGACCGGACAAGAAACAAAGGCAGAGAGAGGGATAGAGACAGAGGTCTCGGAGAGGGAGAAGGATATTTCTCCAGGTTCAGCGGACAGTAGTATTGGGCTGTCACCTTATCCCAAGGATATGGACACTTCTCTCATGACCCCCGACACTGACGGTGGACATATCTTTAACTTAATCGTTCACTTGTAAATAATGTATATATGTTATGTTTTAGCATAAGAAAGTGTGTTCAAAAAAAGAAGAAATAAAAGCACTTTCTTTATTGAGCTTCTTTACATAACGAATATAGAGAATAGTAGTTACAGTAATTAACAGGCATTAGAGTATGTGTTGCTGAAACGTCATGGTCCACATTTGTGGTTATTATTGGACAGTGTGTGACCATTCCCTCTTGCCAAGGAACATCACCAGCAGGAGACAAGTAAAACACACACACACCATGCAAACCATGCTTCACGCTTTCATGTGTACCACCTAAATTACACGCATTGCCACGACGAATTGCGCGGCAGTGCGGGGACAAAATTCGTGCAAGTGTCAGGGTGGCATTAGTGCATTCTTAGGCATCGTTACCGAATCGTAATCGATTCGTAGGTATTCTTAATACCCCCTTCACACTTGAGGCGGAATGAGCCGGAATGCCGTCGGAATGAAAATTCCTGGAGATTCCTGGAAATTCGAACTGCATTCTAAAACTTCTTACCCCATTCCGAATGCACTCCAACTATTCGTGTCAATTCTTGTAACATGCCCGAATGTTCAAAACTTTCGAGGTACATTCGAAGTGGAAAAATATCAAACACCATTTGAAGTGTATTCTAACTGCATTCTAAGTATTCTTACTGCATTCTTACTGCATTCTAACTGCATTCTAAGCATTCTGTACGTGTTCGAGGGAGAATCGTAAAGGCAAGCCACTTCAAATCCTGCAAGAATGTCCCGAATGCGCCTCGAATGTATTTCGATTGCTAGTGGAATTTAGGTGGAATATGCTTCAAACGTATCGGAATGTTTCGATTGCCCTTGGAATACAGTTAGAATGTACATCGAATACACCTCGAATACAGTCAGAACGTCCCGAATCGCATAAAAACGTAGCCACCTGTCACTGAAACTTCAGATATCATTCACATCTTCAAGCTGCGCAAGTTGTCTCCAGCTTCCTGGTACCACGTTGTGTTGCTCATCTTCCTCATCCACCATACCAATGTGGAGATTATGATAACGAGTCCTCATCAAGTTGTGCAGGCAGACACAGCATTCAATGATGTCCTTCAAAACGGAAGACCTTGGCAGCATGGTGGTGAG